CATCATACATGCCCAATGAATTCATTGCTCTATCATAATTTTCCAGATGTTCAGATATGTTTCCTGAACCTCTAGAAAATTGTGGGACAGTCTCTCTAAGGAATTTGATGACCTTTGGTGTTTCATAAACAGGCGTCGTTGATTTACGATCTCTGTTTCTGTGTTTGGGTAAACGTCTATGCGATCTGTCTGCTGAAGAGGAATTAGACCCGTACAACAGTGCAGATGGCATATCAGTTACATGGCCTTCAGAGTGGACAGTGCAATCACTTTCACTCCCATCACTCTGAGCTTCTTGTTCACTGTCACAACTCTGATCTGCATCAGAATTCTGCCAGTGTACAGAACCATGTCTGTTTTCATTCCTATCACCTTGAATCTGATTCTTTCTGTCAAGCTTGGCCAGGACAGTCTTTTCAAACTGTTCTGCCCAAGATTGCCAAGAACCTACAGGTGTTTTCTCAGAATTACTCACCTCTTTTCTTAGAGACTGTTTTATGAAAACCTGGTTTGGTGTGGGAAAATCATAATAAGGAGGGGATTTACAAATAGTCTTTTCTTGCATTTTTGTGCAACTTTTTGGCACAGAATGATGACTACCAACCTCACTGTCTAATTTCTGACTCTCCTTTTCATACTCATCCAATTGCATTTTAAGCTGATTTATTTCCTGTGCATATTTATCCATCAAAGCTTCCATTTCTTTTTCATGATCAGCCTGACGAGTTTTATGCTCAGCAAGTATATCTTGGTATTTCCCATTTTGAATGCCCAAATCGTCACTGTACGTGTCCAATTTGGCATTCAGTGACTTGTTTTCATCACACACCTTAAGAAGTGCTGTCATAAAGAAAGGCCAAGAGTGTATTATGTACGCCATTTTCCTTTCTATGTTCTTTTGTTCAGCAATTTCTTTAAGATATATGATGATGTGTTCATCAGTTAGAATGGTGTGTTTAGCTTCCCATTCTATGCTTTTCAACCAAACCTCATAGGTTGCATCATTTTTCATATGTTTATGAATATGAACTAGAGCATGTTTTCTTAGGTCTTCAATTATTTCAGTATTATCTGTTACAGATTTATCACTGCCACTGGCCATTTTTATTTTTATTTTATTGATTAATCTCAATACAAAACTCTTTTCTATATTAAGATTAAATTGCATGAATTACACCAATATTATTATTATATATGAAATACAATTTCAACTTAAACGATCTCAGCACCGTGCCTCCAATATGTGGGGATATTTATGGGATAATAATAGTAACAGTTGAGAATTGCCCACTATTTCAATTCTCAGATCCCAAAGAACGTTTATCGTGTTAAGTGGAATGTATTTCATATAATAATATCACAATGTATAAAAATAGATTTTATTTATGATAACCAATAATTAACAAATAATATTATGTAACATGCATGACAATAATCAATGAATATTCAGTATAAAATGGTATGCAATACAAAGAAATGGGGATTACGTTTCAATGGCTAAACGGCATTATCTGTCAAGAATTCTGACGATTTATGACTATCTTTAACACAGGCTGAAAGTGAAACTTTTCACAGCGAAGAACAGAATTCCTCAGAGTGCAGCGTAAGGTCGTAAAGTTTAGCAGACAGTTAGAATAACCCTTTCAATGCTGGCTAGATCTCCTAGGTAGTTAAGATCTATTCTTATGTAATTTTTAAATAAAATAACATTTAAACCAGTTCATTAGCCATTTCCAGAAAACAATCCAATAAGAGAATCTACATATTATATAAGCAGATTTTTAATTTGTCTAAAAGATATCTATCTTAATTTAGAGCAAATCAATACACCTGGATAAAAACAGCGGTATGCTAACACGTGATAATATCACATCAATATATAATTATTCTTAATTCCACCTGCAGAATGGAATGTTTATAACTATATATTCTTAGTTAACTAAGATTTCTTAATATGGAAATCTGACCGTGCTTTATCCAGTCATATATAATGCTATTAATACATTTTAATTAATTTAATTTAATTAAATGAAACCAGTATAATTACCAGTTGAGTAGATATTTCATCCGATTGGTAGTCTCAGGAATTTATTTGGATGTGTCTCTGCATGGAGGTTGGAGTCCCCAAACTTCCAATTCCTCTCTTTTCTCTCCTTTGCATATCTTGCATCTGCCTCCTTCGTATCTTTCTTGTCTCTCTATCTTCCCTTTGTCTTAACTTTTAAAGGGCCAGACTCTCTGTACGTCATCAGTTGATAACCCAATAGAAGCACTAGAGGTGTGGTTATCTTCCAGATCGCAAATTAGTTATTTGGTCTGTAGAGGGCAGTCTTGTCCCACTAAACATACCTATCCAGGAAAGAGTTAACTTTTCCTGGTGGCTATTTTGACGTCATTTTGCGTTATCTTTATAGCGCCATAATTTAAAATTTCAAAGGGTTTCTTAAATTTTGTCCAGACTTAGCGTCTGCAATTCCTGCCATAATTTCTGATATGACAGATCATGAACTAAGTTTACCCTTTTCCATACAATGGTACCTTATATATATATATATATATATATAGACAGTTAAATTTTATTATTTAATCTTCTCTGTCACAATTGTCTGGGTTTAGATTTGATTATATTCCATTAGCATTAGACAGTCTGTCCAACCCCCTTCCTTATCACTTGGCTTGTATATACCATGCATTCCTCAGCTCTGGGAAAGTGGTTACCTTACAGATAGAAATATAGTGTCATTTTGTTAACTTAAATAACAAAATGGAGTCTGGTCTGTTCAGAGTGACTCAGAATATACACTTTTAGTTTCTATCATAGCACAAAATGTCTGCTGATATAAATACCCTGACAATACTGAGCTCCCCCCTGCAGCCGCCAGAAGAGCCAGCTCCCCCTGCGGCCGCCATCACACAGGTAGCAATTATGTGTGTCAGTGTGAGTGTATGTCTGTGTCATGGTGTGTGTGTATTTGCTGTGTCATGTAATGTGAGTCTGTCTGTGTTGCGGTCTGTCTGTGTCATGGTGTGTGTCAAGGTGTGTGTGTGTCAAGGTGTGTGCCTGTCATGGTGTGTGCGTGTCTCTGTCATGGTGTGTGTGTGTCTGTTTGTGTCATGGTGTGTCTGTGTCCAGTGTGTGTGTGCCTGTCATGGTGTGTGTGTGTGTCTGTCTGTCTGTGTCATGGAGTGTGTGTGTCTGCCTGTGTCATGTAATGTGTGTCTGTGTCATGGTCTGTCTGTGTCATGGTGTGTATCATGGTATGTGTGTGTCTCTGTCATGGTGTGTGTGTGTGTCCGTCTGTGTCATGGTGTGTCTGTGTTTCTGTCTGTGTCACGGTGTGTGTGTGTTTTAAAAATAGTGGTCTCCCCTCGACTGGCCCTGCCTCTATGGCTGAGATCATCAAGCTTGATAATCTCAGCCAATCTGCACTGACACAGGAAGAACCTCTAGCGACCGTCTCAGTGTCTGCCACTAGGAAGCAATGTAAACACTGCCTTTTCTCTGAAAAGTCAGTGTTTACATTGAAAAGCCTGCAGGGACAGGCTATAGACACCAGAACCACTACATTAAGCTGTGTGTGTGTGCGCGCCTGCTAGTGAGTGGGCTTGCTTGCATGTGTGTGTGTGTCTGCTACTGAGTAAGCTTGTGCATTTATGTCAATGACCTTATTTATTTCAGTGAGATTGTTTGTCTTTGAGGCTGTGTATCAATGAGCTTGTGTCGGTGAGATTGTCTGTGTCTGCATGTGAGTATGCTAACTGTATAATTAAACATTTTACTCTGAATGGACCAATATTTTATATTAAAAAAAGATAAAGATATATATATATATATATATATATATTACTCAATCATCTGGGGTGACAAGACATAGCCTTACATATTACATGCAACAATATATGGCGCAATGACTTATGGGGCTGGCATAGATTTTGTTCCCAGGGCTGCTTTGTATCCCCAGTCCGGCCCTGATTTTGAGCCACCTCCTTCTTCCATACCTTTTTGGTGCAGGGGGTGGCTTCCCATGGTCTAGTGCCATCTGGAGAAGTCTGATGGGAGTCGGTCCAAGACTGCAGGCTCTACCTCTTTTCCGATCCCCCCCCTTTTATCACTCTTCTGCGCTTTCTTTTTGGTAAGCTGGGAGAAAGGGACTTGGTACTTACTTCCTTCCAGCACCGCAGCTTCACACAGACCAGATTGCCTTTAGGTGGCTCTAAGTGCATGGGCAACCAGATGGGCCCCTTTAACTTGCAGGAGGTCATTCCACTAAAACCCACAGCGGGCCCCGATTTCGAACATTATACCATATATGTAAATTAATTTTCAAAATAACAATTACAAGAAATATACAGTGAGATTTTCTCTTGTTTATGTAAGTGTACCACTTCAATGTTTTTCATTTTACCACCTTGTAATGAGGACATTGGTGGTGCAAGGAACCAAACTTTGATTAGATATACATCAAACACCGCGTACTGGCTTTAATTAGTTGAATCATCATAAGAACCTCTGGAGTTTTCCATTCAATCATTTTTTCTGTAACTGAAACCAAAACATTACATTTAATATAACCTTGCTGTGCATTATTAAGTAATGACTATATAGGTGAGCTCTTTTAGTGTCCCACTTTGGAACAGCCATCTTTAGCGCTCATGGATCGGAAGCATTACCTTTCTGACCATATACAATTGGAAGTTCTGAAATGGATCCAAAGTTCATTTTTTAGATTCCGGTCACTTGCACATTGGAGTTTGCATCCTGGTTATTCACAGTTTAAAGAAGAAAACAAGTTTCCTTTTGTAGCTAAGCAAACCAATTATAGAGGAGCAGATGATCATTTTATCCTCAAGGTAGTCTAAATATTGATTGTAAGGTATACCTTTTTTTGTGATTTTTTTGCTAAATCTATACTTTTCATTTGTCTTACAGCTGCAAGGAGGTATTGGTAACTCTATTAAAAGGGACGCTTAGGCTTTATTATACAAATACTGCATATACAGTGCCTTGCAAAAGTATTCACCCCCCCATCCCCCTTGGCATTTGCTTATTTAAACATTTATCAATTTTTGTAGATATTTTTAGCATATGAACATAATGTATATATAGGTTTTTGGATGATGTACGTATTAAAGGAAGAGTCCTCAAAATCATATTTGAATTTAACATGTGTCCTCTTGTTTTATTAACATTTATGTTAAAATTATTTAATAAAGTTATACAAATTAGAACATTGTGTACAGTATTATAAAGGAAACACGTGGTGCATAGTTCTCAAGCATTATAAAAGGTATTGTGTACAGATAGTTTTTCCTTGATATTGTCTGCATTCTTTTGGACACAAGGTTCTTCATTGGGGGCGGGGTCTGACAGACAACCGAGCAGGTTGCACATGGCTGGAGCTCCTCAGATTCAGGCTGCAATATTGCTGGTATCCTGATAAACTTGTTCTAACTCAGCCCGAAAACCTAATGATAAATTATACTTTACGAAATCAGTTTTTAAACAAGATTTTGTGATAACCTACTTATTTAATGGGTACTTTTAACACTGTAATATCACAAAAATACACACATTTTACTTTTAATTGTAATATTTTATTTACACACCACTTGAACTATATATATATATATATATATATATATATATATATATATATATATATATAAAAAAGTCCATAAAGTGCCAGAAAAAAAGTATAAATTTCTACAAAAAAAATGTATATACACAACACAAAAATGCCACTGACATCAATATATTATAGATTCATCAAAACCTGATCCGACAATAGCTAGTGGGGGCAATCAATTTAGTACATTCAGCGACAACTGCAATTGAACTCATTGGGTTCACCAGTAAAATTGTTAAAGGAGACCTGTGGGGTTGAGATGAACTCAACAGTCATTTATTTAATGTAATAGAAACCAGAGTAAGTGGTTTCCTGGTTACACCCCCCTGGCTGTCAATCAGACAACAGGCCTTGTTACTTCCTGGTTTGGTTAGCTCAGTGGAGCCAAACAAAAGAGGCAGCAATTGCTCAGAGCACTTGCCTTGCACAAATTTTTATTTTCTCCATTCAGTTAAAGTTATATTATATTATACAGGCACAAAATGCCACAGATATAAAAATATAACTTCATATCTTTCTGATGCAAAGCATTTGATGGTAGCTTTGTAAGCACCAGTTTCTACACCTATTATAAAGCTCTGAATACAAATAAAGATGTTGATTAAAAAAATATATATATGAGAATATGTAATAATTTATTTAGTTTTATCATACAAACTGTAGTTGTTATAAACAAATATAAAACAGGTAACAAAAATGTTCTAAAGTAACAACAGAGAGAATCGGTCCTTATCCTTAGGCTGGGGTTTTGCCCATTTCTTCTTGATATACTGGATTTCCACTTTCCCAGAGGATCTTGCCAGTGCTAGACCCATCAGACCATTATCCTTTTCTGGTTCACCAAAAATGGCCATGCTTAGAACTCTGCAGGATTGGGAAGGAAAACAAAAAAAAAAATACATTATAAGATCTGCTTTTCCACAATCTGAATACACACTTAATTTGTGCAATGTTTAAAGGAACATTCTTATGCTACAAATAAATATTTTTAATTTTAACAATAGCAGACTTGTTTTTAAGTGAAGATTACTGCCCACCCCCTGAAAAAAATTAAAATAAAAACAACAATTATGCAGCACCAAAACAGTCTGTTCTCTGCAGCCCGATGCAAGCACAGTGAGTATTGCAGACCCATGGTGCATGCTTGCAATAGCAACAATCTGGTGCTTTTCATAGAGAAGGCCTGAATCCAGTGCTTCTCAAAGAGAAGTATGAGCAGTATTCGGCATGGCCACACTGTGGGTGACGATGCAGGATGGGAAGACCTTCCAAAATTTAACGTCTTCAATTTTTACCATTAACAAAAACATTGAAAATCACCTACAATTTGTGAAAACCTGTTTTTTGTCCCACGAGATGCAATTTGTTCTACTGTTTGCTTTCTAAAAGCTGACTGCGAGGTGCAAAGTTTATAACAATGGGTTGACAGGGAGCTATCATGCAAGTCATTTTTAGACAATAAATCTATAAAACCAAAGTATTAATGGATTGTACTGAGATTCTTTTTACAGATGTGGGAGACTGCCATTTACAAGACACATTCACAGCTGTCAAATTGAGTGTCTCTTCATTCCATTCCAGAGAGAAGTACAGAAAGTTTTTCCTATCTGTAACCCACAGACAGCAAGAAAGAGGCACAAACACACATGTAATGTGTACAGAGGGAAATCATGCTATCTGGCAGAATTCTATTGGCCCCTGATCAAACTCTGCAATTAGAAAGGTTTAAAGGTTACTACCAGGCTGCTCTTAAAGTAGCTGTGACATCAGTTGATCAATTAAGCCGTGTAAAGATAAAAATAAACACTGGTTTACAAAGCCCTGGTTATAATGATTTTGTCAGTAATCCATTTAAAATACAATTTTTGGTTTAGTGGTTGCCTTTTCATGACATATACAGGCAACCGATGACAAAGAATTTTGAGAATATTCAGACAATAATCATCTCTATACTTACTGATCAGACAACGTGGATTCTTTGGCTATTGGTTGCAAATCATTCTGTAACAAATCCCAAATGTAAATGCAGCCTGTAGCATCCAAAACAAAGAAAACATTTGGTCGTGTCAGTGACCAACGTAGAGCTGTAACCGACTGTCCATTGGTGCTCTCATTCCACTGCATAACTGGAAACTGCACGCTCGTCGTATGTAATCGTATGCACCCGTCTGAACATCCAGCCTTAAAAAAGCATAGCCAAAAAAATATCTTCGTTACATTTCTTATATGTGTATAATAGAACGCAGAAAATATACATAACCCAAGCAATAGTTACTGCTCTTTGTTATTTATTATACATAATGTATCTACACTATACATTTACAGACAGCTAATTTGACACAACAGACGGAATCATGAAAAAAAATAAAATATATATGTATATATTTTTTTTAAATGTATTTTTATATAGCAAGGGGGCCCAAAGCACAGATACATAGATAAATATATTCCAACTTGACATGTCTCATTATATTGACCTCAGAAGAATATAAAAATGAAACTTCATGGTTTAGTTGGCAGATGTAAGTTGAGTTTGTATACACTCAATGCTATTTAACAAAAGCATATTCATCAATAAAGTCAACTAGGATAAATGCACTGTAAAACATCAACACAAAATGTTATGGCTCCTCTTAGAGGGATACACTAAGCACCATAACCACTACAGTACACTTTGCCACACCAGCTCAGACTGAAAAGACTGTGGGCTCTTGATTGTAGGTATATAATAAGACATACATTTACAATGACATAGTGGTTCTTAACCCTTGAATCAGAACTAAAAATTAAGTCCCCATGCTATTTAAGGTTTCCCCAAAGGATGGAAAGAGCACATCATATTCATCATGCCACCAGGTAACTGCCCACAATAAACTGGTTATTGTAGCAGCACTGTCTTCTCAGTGTAAGAAGTTCTCTATTGTACTGTGGAAGAGTCTTACGAAAGTACTTTTCTCATTAAATGATATATTACATAATCAATGAAGAATGGGTGACTGAGCTAATTTTCCTATTGATTAATGGGTTACTAAATTAGTACAGTGCATGTAATTTGGGTCCCTGACAAAAAAGTTTAAGAACCACTGCTGTAGCATATTATGGCAATTATGGGAGAATGCATTGTTGATTGCTTTTATATTGGTCAAAGGAAAGTGCTTTTAAATATGAACGGTCACTTCTCTGGAAATAACAAGATTACATTATGAGCGGCCATAACTGGGTACTATTTTAAAATTGGGCATTCTATGTGATGCAATTATTTTTTACCTTACAGAGATTTATGTAGCTTTGATAGAGCTATAGCAAGGTTTGTGTAGCATGCGCCTTTACTCCTCCCCTGTATAAATGTGTCTAACATTTCTTTCTTCTGCAGCACACTATAAATAAATATGTTATTTATCTGTCTCTTTTAAAGAACTACATAAATAAATAAATGATGGGGGTTTATAGGAACATAAAATGAGAATATCCAGAATTGTTCTCCAGTGAGTGGTCCAAACATGCGTCACATTAAATACATGTCACAGGGATCTTACATAGGATCGTCATAAATCAGTTGCCATGTCTTACCAGAAATGCAGGCACTTCGAATGGCGAGAAATCGATCGTGGTGACCTTTGACAGTCGGATCGTACTGTGAAGGGGTTTATAGTGCTTTGGAGGTTCTATTAATCCATATCGTGTGCCATGAGTTACAAGCCCCTGTTGAAATAATATACATTGCTATTAAAAGGGAGGAAAAACATTGTAATACTAAAAAGAATTTATCAGCTAAACAGCAATAGAGATACTCTTACAGTACCAGAGAATAGCAGACATTTCTGTATACTGGCTTCAAACAAATCTATACTGCGATCTGCATTAAACATGTCAATTAAAACCTAAACTCTAATTTTATTATGGGTACTTACATCCAGTGGATGGCATGTCTATCTTAAAACCTTTACCTGCCTTCAATGTGTGGAAACATCCCTTAGGGACCTTGGGCTTACCAACACATTTTTTTGCCCAAACATTTATATACTGCATGCCATTTAGCCACATTTCACCCTAAAGATTTAAGGTTCTTTTACTGGAACCAACTTAGAGATGATGTGCTGATTCCTGCATATTTCTTAAACATTTTACAGGAGTTTTGTACAGTAGATATTTCTTACAATTGTCTGCATTCTGTTTGAAAGAAGGTTCTCCAGTGGACTAGACTAGAAGTTCATCTAGAAACAGCTTCTTATAACAGCTTTGATGAAGTCCAAAGAAAATAGAACAATAAACAAACAAAAATAACAAAACTACTCTCGTGATGTCCTGATATCATAGATCCAATTGTAAGTGAAACAGAGTAAAAGAGTTAATAAGGGGGGTGGAGCCTGACTGCCAAACAGACTAGACGTGTGTTGAGAGAGCTCCCGCGTCTGGCTTCAATACGCGAGGGTGA